TGCTTATTTTTCTCAAACATAATCTAAACTCATTCAATTTTCACAAACGTATTCAAAATCTATTATTTCTCTATTAAAACTATATAAATCTCATTCAGTTTCTCTCAAATACAATAAAAACTTATTCATCTGTTATGTACAGAGTGTTTCCCTCTGTACACTGGAAAGAAAGGTGCCGTACCGAACCATTTTGTTTCAAAAATCGAAACCTTTAAAAAGGTTTCGTATGAACCTAAGCCACCTTCAAAATGATTTTCAGCGGTCTAGGAATCTTTTTTTATAGGTACCGTAGATCTCCTACGAAACCCAAAAAGGTTTAGAATCCGTTTCAAAAATCGAAACCTTTTTTAGGTTTCGTACTATGTACGAAACTATTTTTTAGTTTCGTAGCAAGTACGAAACCTTTTGTAGTCCACGAAACTCTCGTTGGTTTAGTATTCATACCACTTTTTTTTCCAGTGTAAATAAGACAAAGATGACATGTCTTTTCTAGTCTAACTGGCTTAGGACATCTGCCCGGATGGCAGAAGGTACGTGGTTCGAGTCCCAAGTGTGGGTGGGTGTAGAAGTTGGTTCTTCATATGTATGCACACCCACATCCACACCCCCACCCCCACCTACACACAAGCAGTTGCAATATCATCCGTAACAGGTACTATCAAGTCAAGATCTCGGTGAAAGATGATAACGTTATTATCTTATACCTAAATTATCAAGATCTGTTAACATTTCTGTGCCTTGTATCTTGACCAAGATCTTGTCACAAGATAGTAAGTTCTTGGTACAAGATCCAAGATCTTGCTTACACGATGTTTCACTAGGGAATAGTATTGTCCTATGCGCGTAATATAATTTAAATGAAACTTACGAATGAATGTAAAAAATGAAGTTTGTTATTGCCTTTATAAAATAAATCGCAATCTTGTCCATCGAAGATATGAGCATTCATCAGCAGACATATAACAACAGAACCACCGGCAACATAAAAATTATTGTAATCAATGAATTGGCTCCATCTATTAGTATATTTAAAAAAAGTTCGATTACGTTTAGTATACTATCTAAGTTTTTTTATAGAGAAATGTAAGAATTTTGTCTCAGTTATGATACTTTTTCAAAATGTAGCGGGTGTTACATACTTATCATAGTAAAAACGAGTATTCATATTATGAATAAATTGAGTGAATGATGAAACAAATTGACATTGTTCAACTTGACCTCTATATGATACTAATTTAAATAGTTTATGTTCGATTGAGGATAATTCTCGTTGAAATATAATATTTTGTCGTTGAAAAAAATTCAAAAGTTTTCGTTCCTGGTTGTAGAATGGACAGGTGAATAATAAAATTCGAGAATATGCACGATGAAGATCTGTTTCAGCATAATTCTCTGCTTGTGCAATAGATTCACGATCAAATGCTGGTACTAGTGTACATGACCAATAAATTGCAGATCCATGTAACTTGACATTTGCCCCTTGAATGTATATCAAACTATCAGTTTCATTGCATATTTCATGATAATAATCTGTCATGTTTCTCGGTTGTTGTGATTGTAAAAAAACTTTTGAAATTGGTAACGTCATCAAATATAGAATGCCGAAGATGATGTGATGTAGTTGAAATATCATCTGTATTGATAATTACATTATCCTGATCACTGTGCATAGTTTTCCGTAACAACAATTATTATAACAAAAACAGTATAACTCAAATCAAGAATTATAATTAAATAATTAGAAAACCAGCAAACCGAATAAATTGTATATATCTGATAAAAACAAAATATGGAATTAATACAATGAACGATGCACTTTTTTTATTTAGTTGCACAGTAAAGTTACAATATTATGATTTTATAGAACTTTCTAAACTTTTTTCATTTCTTACATAAAAAAAAAAAGAGATGACATGATTCACAGACAAAGCTTAGTTTATAAGCAATCAATATCGTTTTTACTTGTTGCATACTTTGTTCTTTGACTGCACCCTTTTACATCTCAGGATATAGTGAATTTTTTTTGCACAGCTTCTTAATACTTTTAACACAAACAGATATAGTACTAATTTTAGATTACGTTAGAGTTTTGAAAGTGGAGTTAAAGGAATAGTTAGTTTTAATATATAAAAAAAATATTTGTTAAATAGCGTTTTATAAATTAATTTTTATCATCAAAAGTAGTGCAGAAACCAATCTGATGACAATTGTATTTAAACATTTAATACGCATATCAATAAATTTCAATGATCAATTTAACATTTTAACTGTTCGTCTCAAAAAAAATTTTCTCACACTATAATATTAAGAATACTATATTTACTTCAAACGAATAGATATCAGAATTATCTGAAACTATTCGATACTGATTGGTCGGTGTGGTATTAATATTTCATGAAAAGTTCAATTCATTGGATCTTTTGTGGATAAGAATCAGAAAAAAATTTACGTTGTTATTTTCTTTTTTTTTCAAAAAGATAAATGTAGTTCCAGAACTTATACTTCTAAAAGAACAATTCTCCATAATCGGCGTTTTTAGTGTTTTAAAAGTGATTACTGATCTGTAATAGCTGTCATCTAATTGCTATTTGTAAAACTTTATTTAAATTATGACTTAATAAGTATTTCGAGAGTATTATTTGCTATAAAATAAAATAAATATTTTGTGTTGAAAATGGTGAGTTTGGGTGTGTGCACACGGAAAAAATCTTCCGAAAAAAATCGCGGTAATCTGAGGTTAACCGCGGTTTTGTTCCGCATTTTGAAAAACCGCGAAAGTCAGACCATTTATGCGTCTTTTAAAAACCGGTTGAAACCGCGGTTTGTAATATCGCGGTGGGAACAGAAAAAAAACGCGGTTAGACCTGCAAAAACTCAGCTCGGACCGCGGTTTATGAAACCGCGGTTTTTTCTTGAAAAATTTTTCCATGGGTGGGTGGGTTTCGGAGTGGGTGTTGGTGTGGTTTTGAGATATGACAGTAGACACCTACATCCACATTCACACCCACACTCTCAGGATACTTTGATGAAATTATCATCGTGTAGTTTAGATGTTAGAAATCCTGTTAGTCACACGTAAGTGTGAGAATATTCACTATCAACATTAGTTTTTGCTTTTTTTCCATTTTGTTCGACAGTCCTTTTATGTCTAGTCGATACTTTTAATTTCATTCACTTCACGTGAAGTCAGTTGGACTCAGACGTGCTAGATATATAGATGTGCCATCAAACAATAAAAAAAAACCATAAAGAAATGAACACGTGTGAAATTGTATTTTGGTTCTTTTCGTTTGATGATATAATTCGGTTATGTTTGTTAATGTAAGACAAGATTACCGATCAACTCTGTATAAATCTTTCTCAATAATATCACATTAGCCACACGTTTCAGTACGATCACCATGAAAGGTAAACCTGTATACATTGCATACTGCTATGTTTTATTATTGAAAGATCATTCGATGATAAAAAAAAGATTTAGCATTGTGAACCAAATAGATCTGGTTACAATCAGCGATCAAGCTGTTCACATAGTCGACATAAACAATCACGCACTTCAATACAACAGAGTTTTACATAATTCGAACAAACAATCAATATCAAATGTGGAAAACAATCTCACACTGCCTAATAAAATTTTGTTCAAGTCAGCCTAAGTTATAACTGGAAGTGGATAATTCATATGTAAATGAACAATATTGTTGTGCGTTTTCATTTTTCCATTCAACTTTCAATGATATCTACATTTATGACTCATTTGTTAAGATAAATAAAATGTAAAAAATGAAATGATTAATTTACTTTTTTCGAACGATAGTAATGGACACATACATATTGTCAGGTAAGTGTCATGTACTCTTTCCTCTTATAACATGTTTTTTTGGAAGTTGTTACATGATATCAATCAGTTTTCTTTGTAATGAAAAAAATATTATTTCATACCCATCAGTGTAACGTTGAATCCTTATTTATTTTACAAATTTTCGTCCGCAACAACTACAAGTTTTAAATACTTCGCATGAATATTCATTGAAAATAGTCTTTTGATTAGTTCAAATCAACTAATACGAAATCTACCGACGTCATTTAATAGCTCTCTTTATTCTCTTGAAAATTCGCTAAGCATAACTTCGAAAGCTACTTCAATGATCTTTAAGCATTATGGATCTTGTTAAAAAACGGTTGCTTGTTATCGCACTGCCATTGATTTTCATTGAGCTGGATCCAAAGTTTTGTTTTGGTTATCCTCAGAACTCGTCATAAAAATTGATAGAAGACTTCAGAAATCAAAAGTGATGAATCTTCTGATTCACTCATTGCATATTCTGGATGATTTGTATGCAATAACTAAGTCGTATTGAATATATCGTTGTATCCAATGAGAAACTGTAGTACGATACACCTTATTAGTCAGTATAGTGTAGTTTTTTGGTAGCTATTTTCCCAATTTTTATGATGAATAATACCGATGTCACGACTCATGTAAAAAACAATGTAAGGTTTTATGTTTTTTTGGTGACGATATATATATACAAAGTAATCAATATTATTTTTATTTTGAATAATGAGACTTTTCACCATTACAGAGTACTTCATTTTTGGCTTCATAGAAAAAATATCAAACTAAAGCAATAGGATTTCTCTTCAACATTCTTGTAGAGAATTTTATGATATATCTTTAAAGAAAAAGAATCAAGACTATAAAATTAATCTATGATGAGATATTTGCAAAATATCAAATGTTGCAATATTTATGCCACATCCAGTAACACTTGTACTCAATATTGAATATTCTGACAGTCAAAAAAAAAAAATTATTTCACTTTTCAATTAACTTACTTCCGATGGTTACCCAATCTTTTTCTCAACTAACACTTCTATAATCCTATTCAAATCCAGTTACAAGTAGAACATGCAGCCAAATAACATTTTTGCTTGAAAGTTATCAGAACAAGAAGCCATACATGTATATTCGATGAGTGATAAACAAACCTTATGTTACAAAATTACTATCTTTATTTTTTGCTTGTTTTCTAGACATTTTCTAGTGACGGTGCTTTTTTTCATTAAGGAGAATATTCTGTAAAGAAAAACAATGGATTCTTTCTTTTTTTTATCTATTATATAGAATAGTCAAACAGTATCAAACCAGATTTCGAGAATGTTATCCTACGTTGAATTACTGAACAAAGCAGCTCAACAGGTGAATATTGTCGTTGGTATTGTTTTTCTTGTGCTTGGTGTAATTGGCAATTGCCTCAATATTGCAATGTTCTCTTCGTTATTGAGCATAAAATTATTTCCATCAAGTCCAAGTCGTCTTTATTTATTGACAACTGCAATTGCCGATTTTATATTTGTTGCCTATTTATTAACGACTCGTATTATGATCTCTGGATTCTTTATTCCACTTACCAATACTATTAATTTCATATGTAAATCTCGATTCTTTATCGGTCAAGTTTGCATCTATATATCACTTTTTTGTACTTGTTTCGCTACTATTGATCAGTATTTACTGTCAAGTCGATCTGTCAGAGTTCGTCAATTGAGTCAATTATCTTTCGCAAGAATCATTGTGTTGATTTTAATTGTTGTTTCGTGTCTAATTAATATGCCAGAGTTATTTATTTACAATGTGTATTCAAGAGGAAATGGAACATCGACCATTTGTACAGTATATTCTTCTTCTTGGACATTTTATTTTACGTATATCCAAAGTTTAGTCATTCTCTGCCTTTTACCTTTATCAATATTTATTATATTCAATATTTTGACAAAAAATAATCTTCGCTCTGTACGTCAAGTTCATCAGTCTATCGCAGATCAAATGACTCGAATGGTTCTTTTACGCGCAATGACAATGGCACTTTCTCTTCTAGTAGCTACCGTTCAAATCATTTATCAGGCAGTAACTTTGAATATTCAGAAGGATACATTACGCATAGCACAGGATAATATGCTTAATACCGTTGCCAATCTATTGACTTATGTTAACTATATTTGTGGTTTCTACATCTATTTATATTCATCGAAATCTTTAAGGCGAAATTTCAAAGATATCTTACTGAATCATGAACAAATTCATCCGATGGATATAACAACACGTTTTACTCGAGATCGACAAGTTCATATAACAAATTACAATCGAATAAAACCGGTGACAAATAACGGTAATTGAACGCAGAAAAATACATATTCAACAGTATGAAATATCCACTCATATCATTGTTTTTTTACTCCCATATTTCACATGCGTCCGTCTTTTTTTCAAAGCATTTTATTGTTCATTTGTCTAAACTTTTGCTTTTCGCTTATTTAATAATTGTATTTCTAAATGGATTTCATTTTGTTCTCACCACTTATTCCACATGTGATAAAGTAAGCGATTGTAGCAAATCACCTCCATGCACGACGAGCGTATACGAAGCAGAACGGAGAAAAACGGATTCCTTATACAAGAATCATAAAAAAATACGGCGTAGCGGCATAGTGAGATTCGATGATCCGTCTATGAGATTAAAAGACTGTCATATATACCAGTATAGTACCGTATGCCATCGCTCTCGGCATGTATCCAAAAATCAG